CCATCCTACCTAAGGCAATCTACAGATTTAATGCAATACCCATCAAATTACCAGCAACATTCTTCTCAGACCTAGAAAAAGCAACACAGGAATTCATATAGAAACACAAATGACCAAGAATAGCCAGAACAATCCTCAGCAAAAAAAACAAAGCAAGTGATATCACATTACCAGACTTCAAACTTTACTATAAAGCTACAGTCATCAAAACAGCTTGGTATTGGTATAGGAACAGGCATATAGACCAATGGAATAGAATTGAGATTCCAGAAGCAAAACCTCAATTTCTCAACCAACTCATCTTCGACAAAGTTTCCACCACCTACCACTGGCAAGAGGAGAACCTATTCAGTAAATGGTGCTGGGAAAACTGGCTGACCACATGCAGAAGATTGAAACAGGACCCCTATCTATCCCCATACACAAAAATGAACTCTAAATGGATCAGAGACCTCAATGTAAAACCTCAAACCATAAGAACCTTAGAAAATGAAGGAAATTGGAACTAGCATCCAATTCCTGAAGAAAACCCGAAACCCACAGGCCATAAGAGATAAGATAGACAAGTGGGACCTCATTAAACTAACAAGCTTCTGCAAAGCCAAAGAAACCATCAAGAGAGCAGGGAGACAGCCTACAGACTGGGAAAAAGTATTTGCCAACTCCAGGTCTGACAAAGTCTTAACATCTTGAATCTACAAGGAACTCAAACGTGCTGAGAAGAAAAAAACAAACAACCCCATTATAAAATGGGCAAAAGATATGAACAGACACCTCACAAAGGAAGACATCCGAGCAGCCAACAGACACAGGAAGAAATGTTCAACCTCACTAATCATCAGGGAGATGCAAATCAAAACCACACTGAGATACCACCTAACTCCAGTCAGAATGGCAATTATCAATAACTCAAAAAATAACAGATGCTGGAGAGGGGGTTGGTGGGAGTGTAAACTAGTGCAACCTCTGTGGAAAGCAGTGTGGTGATTCCTAAAAGCTCGAAATATCAACCTCTCATATGACCCTGCAATCCCCCTACTGGGAATATACCCTGAAGAACTCAGATCACTCTATAAAAAGATACCTGCACGTGTATGCTTATCGCAATATTATTCACAATAGCAAGAATCTGTAAGCAACCATGCTGCCCATCAAAAGAGGACTGGATTTTTAAAATGTGGTACATATACACG